CGCATAAATGATTTCAAGTAAGACAGATTTAGTATTTCGGATAGCATTTTGATAATTAATACGATGAAGCATTGGAATCGATTTCATCGGTGGAACCGTGTATCGAATTCGTATCGTTATCTCGATATTTGTCGAATTATACGATTTGGCATCGTGAACAATCGTAACGTACAAACGATTTTATTAAATTGAACTTTCCATAACGTGGATTAACCTTTCTCCCTGGAATTTCTGTTTACCGACGAATATTCTGGAATAACGTAAAAAAAAAAATTAGTATAATTCACTAATGAAAAGAAGTCTTACTTCAATTTAGATGCTTTGTCGATAATCTTGATATCATTTATTACATAATAAGTAGTAGAAGAATATAATTTAACTATAATTTGAATATTCAAAATTATAAAAATTATTTTCATTTTCATGAAGTTACGTTAGGATAATCATCCAAGACTGGAAGCTGAAGTATTTTCGAAACTATTTCTAGCTTATTGATATACTCGAATGCGAAAATATATATATAAATTAAATTATTGTTACGAATGGTAATTAGAATTGATGAAAAATAAAAAAATTTTTATATTATCTCGATAAAATTTTCTGGATTCTATATGCCTATGCTACGTATCGAGGTTTAAATACAGATCGTTGTTCTGAATTAGTATATGTGACAAATACCATGGTAGAAAGAAAAATGCGTGTGAAATAGGCGTTTCCTTCCACGTTAACCAATCAGATCGCGAGACTTCTTTCTACCGGTGAACTATACTATTAGATTGTACCACATGAAGTTGCCAATTTCAAAATAAGTAACAATCGACTGCGACTTGTAAACTCTACTTAACCTATATTTTTTGCTTAGCATATCTTAACGTTGTTCTCTTACATTTCTTTTGTGTAATAAGTTTTTTTTTGTATTATTTTAATTATATTTTAAGAAGTGAACGAATTTAGAAGATCATTCCTATATGAGTTTAAGCTGGATCACATGCACCTGAAGCATATCGAAATATTAGGTTAGCTTTCGGAGATATTTTCTATTAATGAGAAGATTGTTTGATGGTGATTTCAAAAATTCAGCACATTGCCAAGAAATTAATTAAGAAACAATTCGCATTAATCAATAGAGATGAATCTATTCTTTTGCATGACAATGTTTGATCGCATTCACTATATCCACCAGATTATATATATATTTTATTAACCGATTATCACTTGTTTCGTCATTTACAGTTGTTTCTAAAAAAAAATATATTCGACACTTGAGAAGCTATAATCGCAGCATTCGATTATTCTTCGCGCTAAAACCATGAAGTTTTTAAAAAAATGAAATCAGTTAAAATCTATTATAGTTTCGAAAATATATGATTTTTCTTCCGATTAATAAAAACGGCAATTTCATGTGATACAACCTAATAATTTCTTTTCACATTATTCGAGAATATTCATTAATAAACAGAAATTCCAGGAAGAAAGGTTAATTCACGTTATGGAAAGTTCAATTTAATAAAATCATTTGTACGTTACGATTGTACACGATGCTAAATCGTATAATTCGATAAATACGATACGAATTATAATCCACGTTATGGAAAGTTCATCGGTACTTCTTTCTCGACGCTCGACGTGTTTCAAACATTTCGTTTGTACGATTGATTGTACAAAGTGTTCTCTCGTTGTATCGGACGCAGGGAAAAATCTCGACATCGGTCCTCTCGATATCTCAAAAGACTCGGTTAAATCTCGTTGGAAAGAGATAACTGGTTATTTCTTTTTCCTTTTCCTCGTTATTCAACCATGCGTCGAGGTGGGTGATTCTGCTCGCTAATTAAGTCAATCTTCGCGTATCTGGAGGATCCTCGGCTATTCTCGTAGCCGCGTTAAACGCGATCCGCCTCTCAAAGTCTGTCATGTCCGCTCTCTGTGTCGGTTCCGGGTTCGGTGAGCATCCACCCCCACCCTTTGTCTTCTCTGCTTTCCTATTATTTTCCTTTTCCTCCTCCTCGTGTCAATTCCAGTTGAACGGCCGTCGTCGTGTTCACCATCCTACCCATCCAAGCTTCGCCATTCTCTCTCTCTCTCTCTCTCTCTCTCTCTCTCTCTCTCTCT